AACACAATAGATACATGTACATGTACATGCACATTGCAATCTAACTGCATGTGATTGCCACAAACAAAAAAGAAATAGAAAAGAGAAGTACATGTACATGTACAGTGTATCTTACAGTAATGCAAGCCTGATGAACTGGATAGCGTTGTCCCTCCACTGGGTCTTGTTCGGACAGACTCCCTCCATGACACAAGCCACACAATATCCCAGGGATATCACCTGATAGAGAGCACTCAAATATGTACTGGTAAAATAAAAATTAATAAATCAACTATAAAAGTAATATTCACACCCACTTTAGTAGGTGACATGCTATCCGGTATTATAGTAAATCCTCTTCAGATGATGAATTGATCTCGTTACTATCGTCCTCGGCCTCAACTTCATTAGCCACTCCCACATCTCCATTGACTCCACCCATTTTATCCTCACCCTCCCCTGGGCCCGGCCTTCTCCAATATCCAATTCTTCTTCGGTGGTAGCTCCGCCTTCTTCCTCTTCTACTGTGAGATTATTCTTTTTGGGTCTCGTTAGAGTCTTCATATTATCAAACTCAATGTCATCTCCAGTGATAGTGATTGTACTCATGTTTCTGGTACGTACATGTACCTCTTTCTCTTTTTCTCCTCCTTCCTCCGGCCTCACCCTCCCCCTCCTCTCCTCTCTCGTTCCCTTCCTCCCCGAGGGTAACATGTACATGTATCCCGAGGGAACGTCCCATGGAGACTGTGTGACCCTCTGCTGCCTCGAAGTCTGATGAGGTTTCGTCGTCTGGAGACAAAGACCGAGGGGGAGTATGGAAGAGTTCACTAGCAACACTCTCAGGTCTTCCGAAATCCATTGCTGATTGAAACGAGTCTTGACTGCTCAAAGAGGCAGTGTTTCCCTTGTCTGGCTCTTCCTGCAAGTCAGAGAGCTCATCCTCTTCCCTCCACTGCTTGTGAGGTTGAGGTGGAGGCAGCTCTGTATTGAATAACTCATCAGAAACATTCCCTACATTATCAACTTCATTTTCATCTTCCTTGAGCAACTCGACTTCCTTTTCTTGTTCATGTGCATTCGTTTCTTTGGCCTCTTCATCACGATTAGCATCTTTGGCATTCCTGTCATTGTCGTGACTAGAATTCTTATCAGTTTTTCCCTCACTATCAACATTCTCTTCTTCTTCATCAAAAACGAAAAGTTCAAAATTCTCCATTTTTATAACTTTTCCTGATACATATACATGTACTTATGTTGTGTAGCAAGTTTAAACTGATTCCAGTCAAGTTTGGATTTTTTACGAATTTTTGAAGTTACTCAAAAGTCTGTAATGTAGTACAGGCTGTACATGAAATTTCATCGAAATTAGCTAGAAGAGAATTCTTGCAGCATTACTGACATAATTAATCTCTCCCTCCTCCCTGTAGACGTCAAGCATATTTGTGCATTGTTGCTAAGAACTGCTCTGAGGCTGGTTATCTTAGGCTGGTCGAAGCACTTTGCAAGGAACACCAGATCAGTCTCCTGAAAGTGAACTAATGCATACACCTTCTTACCTTGCATTATTTACATAATCCTCTCTCTGTTGTTAGGTAGAGGATAAGGAAGAACTGGGCGAATGGGTTGGTCTTTGCAAGATTGATAAAGATGGCAAGCCAAGGAAGATTGTTAAATGCAGCTGCGTTGCTGTAAAGGTAATTATTATTAATGTACAGCATTGGTTGCTGTTACTGGCACAATGATGATAAAAAGCTCCCTCTACTGATGATTATTGTGAGGATAAAAAGCTTAACCGGAATCACTATATACTGATGTGTCATAATTCATTTTTAAAAGAGAACTGTTTTGTTGTAGTTCTTGTGTTAATGAGTTTTTCTTTGTTAGGATATTGGTACTGATACTGAAGCTTGGAGTACTGTACAAGAATACATAAAGACCCAAACAGCTGCTGCTGTTTGATGAATCTGAACCACCGTTCAATTGAATGCCTATTGCCTTTTTTGTTTAATATGATTTCTTTAACTTTAATTTGTCATAATGAGTGTCTTACGTTACACCAAGAGTAGATAATAGAAGAGAGTGTCCTACTGTGATATACCCCCTGCTTCATCACGTCGTAGAATTGAAGAGTCACATTCAGGATATTTTCAGTATTTTATTTGAGTAGTTATTGGGGCGAGCATGAGCGAGACCCTATGGTGGGCCGTTTGTTTCAAAATTATCGATTCTGTTGGCCTACCTACCCTGCATAAGCGGAGATGCACGGACCACAAAGAATCTATTAGATCTATGTAGGAGTGGCTA